GTTCTTTGCTATGCCTGGGAATGGAAATTGAAGAACGGCTCTGGGGTCAGCAAGCTTCGGCCCAGGGGATGCGCCTCCGAGAGTACCCAGTTGCCGAACCTTGCCCGCACCAATTGCTCGCCGCGAGCTGCCCTCTTGCTCCAGGCTAGGACCAGTGTAAGCTTTGCGGGGAGGGTGTGCACTGTCCAACTACGGCGCTCGTCCGCCCTGTAGAGGGAAAGAGAGTACCTAATTTCAGTTGATGGGGGTTTTTTTACTTCTGGAAGCCGGAACCTTAATTACGAAACGAGAAAGGAAAGAAGAGACCACATGGCCGCTGGAGGTGTCACGAGTCGCCTTGGTGCCGGAGGGCAAGCGTCCGCTGGTGGCTCAAGAATTCACTGCTAGCTGTGCCCGTACGCCATCTACTCATTCAACTGATTCTCCGATGTTTCTGAAGGGATGGTTTTCCGGCGGGGTGGGTGGCTGACCTCCGATGGGAGGATGGGAGGCAAAGCAGGCACATTTCCGAGTGTCAGCCGTGGCTTTCGTAGTGTGGAGGGAGCCTACGTCACTAGCATCCGGGGTCATCCTCCCCCGGCTGGGGTTCACGGACTCCAGATCCAAATCGGTTATTCCACCGGTTAAACCAATGCGGCGGATGCTGAAGTCCTGGCTGCTGGTTAGGCATCCGTAATGCCGCAAGGGCACGACTTGCTGGCCTTGCGCTGGCGGCCGAGAATTCCCGCCCCAATTGGACTTGAGTCCCTTAGCAGGTTCGTGTGTGTAATGCACGCCCCCCTTTCCCCCCTGGGGGATCGTGTTATTCGACCGGCTCCGCAATCTGGCAAGGCTCGCTGGTGCGTCTTGTGAGGGCGACGGCCTGGGGAAACCCTTGGCTGAAAGTCAGCCACCGACACGACCAACACATGGTCGCGGTTTAGCTTTGATGAGAGGGATGCCGCCAGGTGCGGCTCCCATCCGCATCCGCAAACCCTCAATTTAGCCGACCCCCATCCGGGGAGGAAGATCGAAGCGGTCAAGCGCCCCCAATGGCACTGGTGGTGTTCAGCCACGGCGCCGAGGGTGCTGTAAGCAGGGAGCGCAGCCGCCTGTAAGCCGCCGGCAATAGCGGTGATCAGTGGGGGGTTTTGCAGGTGCGCTGCCGTGAGCGGCCAGTACGGGCGGTACTGCACTGCACTGCGCTGCACCACGCGCTGCTCCTAGGTGCACTAGCACATACACGCCTCTCCGAACTCTGGCAATTGATACAGGCAGATATGTACCAGAGAAAATTACCTTAATCCCTATAGGCGGAAGCCAAATTCCTCGCGCCGTGTTCAGGTGAGTCAGGCTCTCCATTGAACTAAAGATCTCGTTTCGATGCGCTGATATGCGGCAGGTGTGCGGTTACTATCGTGAGCCTCTGCTCAACGTTCAAGTCGGCTACATACGACGCACACCCCTTCCAAATTACCCCAATAAAGCCAACCCGGCTTCCAGTTTCGAGGGTTCAGGTCGCCAAAATAGCCAAAGAGGGAATGGGGATCTTTGCAGCCAGCGCATGCACTCGATATCGTTACATGCGGATGACCTTGTGGCAGGATTGCATTACATGAACACGTACGCTCCCACGCATTAAGATGGACACACATAGCCCCCAGACCAGCAGGTGCACGCGCCCTCGCTTGCCATCTTTGCCTCGCACTCTCCTGCTCGCGAAAGAGAGGGAAACGGAGGCTCAATCAGGAAGGCAAGCAGCATCCTCTAGCGCTGCCAAAGGTGGGTATTCTAGAAGGCTTCCTTCACACGTGGGCATCCACCTCGTTTGGCCATTGGATTTATTCAATTTCTTTTTTATATTTCTCATTGGCCCGGAAGCCCTCCTGACCCCCACATCGACCGCGCATATTCCTCCACCTCCTTCTCTTTCACATGATCTACCAATCCCTGCCGGAAACTCCACCAAACATGCAACAGGGTTTTTTTTTGGTGGAGGGCAGTAATAAGAGCGAGTCAAGTATTTTTGTTGCCTAGTTTTATTTTGGGGCTTCACCTCCCGGCCTGGTCCCTGCTCCTCCTTCGGCCTTCTGCCGTCCGTTCTGATGGGTAATGCCATCGAGCACGCCTGCCATTGGCAACCGCAATCGCGTTGGCCGTTTCACTCGCTCGCACGACCCGCCGGGCGAGCTCAATGCCAGAGCCCTGATGCGCCTCGTATGCAGGTAATCTTAATTGGCGACCTGATACTCCCTACATGACTAGAGCGCCATGCGTGAGGTGGCCAGGCGCATGGGGTGGTGGTCCCCCCGCGTGGGTTGAAATGTGATGCGTCAACGGGAGAATCTCGTGGGCAGCGCCAATTTCGTCAGAGACGGGCGGCATGTGATGGGACTGTCTGCGGACTCGAGAGAGAAGGAAGACAGCAGGAACACAGATATGGAGCGCGGCTAGGCCAGAAGGAATTGGGACCCAAATCAGGAGGGGTGTGTGAGGCATCCATTTCGGATATGCAGGACACTCACCCGCTTGAGCCAGGCCACGGTGCCTACTTGCCTCAGACCTAATACAGGGTGCTCCGTCGCGATGGGCCATAATTATGGGTTTGTAAGGTTAATCGGTAGCTAACGAGCAAGCACCCTGCCCGCGGATGGTGGATGGCACTGGATCGTCCGTCATTGAGCCAGAGGACGAATAGTTCGTCCAGCTAGAGCGAATTAACTCGCCCAGCTATGCAGCCTCTCACATGCTGGATAGAAGGGCAGGCAAATTGACCGAAACGGACAAAAGAAAAGGCGGGCAGAAGCCCGACATTTCCCGTGCATTTCCCGTCCACACCCCCTCCACCACCGCCAGCCAACTCGGTCCTAAGAGCTCACCGTCTCCTTAGACTCCGTATTCTGGCTGACGCTTGCATGCTTCCAAGGTTCGGCCAGCAGAAAAATCTGTGCCGACAGTTGACTTGACTTGGCCTCAATGGGTGTGTGCTTCCCTCATCGTCTCTGTCTGACCTATTTAGCCCTATGAGCGGCCGGGAATAAAGAGCGAGCTAGAAGGACAATGGGCGTCGGTTGAAACTGTGTTTCTTGCCTCCAACCACCCAAGTACTTTGTATTTGCCATCACCGAGCAAACATGCCCGTCGGTAGCCGCGATGTGATGATCATGTATGATGCGCGGTTCCTGTCACCTGTGCGTTGGGACTTGAGGGGTTGCATATGCAAGGCACGCCTCAGCCTCAAAGAAAATCTACAGACAGTAGTAGCTCGCCAAATCAAATACATACTTTTGTCTTATTTTGCTTATTTGACTGAAATCCTTTGCATGTACATATACGCCTGCGATGCTATTGGCGCGGATTCTCAGAGTGCTCATCCTACTACTCACTTAACTTCACTCGTGAGTCATTCATACGAGCTTAGGATGAGGATGCCATCGTGTAAACGGACACACTTCGGTATGCAAACCCGGAATCACATAACCAGCGAAGCCTAACACTTTTGCCGGGAAAATGCAGCGAATCCCTTTAACCCGGATGACGGAGGAAGGTCATCAACCTTCTCTAGCGAGCAGCCTATGTTTGGTCTCATGCCCCAAACCCACATGACGAAATACACTCTGCCTGATCACCCCCTCCATCCCAACCTTGGTCCAAACTCTGTTTGATCATCCTCAAGAACAAATTTGTTCTTCTAGAACATTTCCAAATCCATCCGGAAACAAGTGCGGCGGCGATCCGACAGCATCGGTCCACAGTTCCGATGCCACCACACACCAACCCACCACGTTGTGGGAGAACCTTGACGCCATGGAGCATGGCTTTCCGCCATTGCGGGAGACCCGTACATTTCCAGCCCTGCCCAACCGCCCGGATGAGCTCTTAACCTTGCGGCGCGTGGTTCCTCCGTGCGTCCCTGAATCGTGCTTTTGCTTGTATTTGATGTTTTGGAGCTCGGAAGCGGAACGGGTTTCCTTTGGGGGTTTCATGACGCGGGTTGTGTGGCTTGGGATGGGCGTATACGCCCCCCCTTTACCTTCTGGTGGTTTTGTTCGGAGCTCGAAAGGTACGAGTCAGCCTTGTAGTTGTTGTAGCTCGTGGGGTGGCGGTATTCTCATTAGGGACTCCGGGGAGGCGTTCGATTTCGCCTGATCCGTATCGACCATCCCTTTTCATTGCCTCCTCCTCGGGTGGTTGCCCGAAGGGGCGATGGCCATGCTCGGAAGGTCTACGAGTAGTAGCAGGTGCAACGTGGGTTGAGGATGTTGTGGAAACCGAACCACCACCGTTTGTGTCATGCTTCTCCACTGGTTCTGGCTTCCTTCTGTGGCTGGTTCTAGAGCCAGACGCCAATTGCCATCGTATTTGTGAGCATAGTCCATGCGTAGAGTGCTCTGCTCTTGGAAGGGGTTGTGCTTTGTCCCCCTCAGTCTCGTAACTCGAGGCTATGTCTGGAGAGACAACCCCCACAAGGTCGTCGTTTGTTCAAAAGATCAGGACCCAGGCTTCTTGCCATGAGATAGTCAACGATGCCATGCCTGAATTCTCTGTAAAACATCCGATCTACTGTGTAGTTCCCAAATCTGATCATCAGATTGAATGTCGGAAAGCTAGTTCTAGCCATTGTGATGGTAGGTAGTTTCGAGTGCGGAACTTGTGTAGCCGCGGTATCTATTCTATATCTGTTCGAAGCTTGCAGCTCGAAGAATTGCTTGCTTACAGTGATGAAAACATCAATAGGAACTTGATAGGATATCTCTACATAATAGATCAGCTTTTGGCGCTGCTTTCTCAACACCCCTTCACCCAGCAACAGGTATAGCTAGCGAGGCAAGACTTGAAAAATCAAGAAAGATATGGGATATTGCCTCTCCCGTAAAACCATGTCTTGTCTCTTCTAGCCCGCCGTGCTTCTCATCTCAAAGTGACCATACCTGGTGGTCCATAGTTGAGAATACCAAGGAAAAATGAGTAATATTGAAATGACAAAGCAAAAAGAAACGCCCCGGAAATGAGACCATCTCATGTCTGCCACGTCTACCGCAAGCAAGCATCGCCCTCGAAGCATTGACTACGTCCCTAGATTGAGTTGGAAGGAGGCCAAGAAGATGCTCGTGCCCTTTACTTTATACAAGGCGCTCGAGTACCCGGATGTTGGAGGCATCCTTGTATCAGTACCGAGTCCGAAAGATCTCCAATGCCAAAAGAATCTAGACAACTTCGAAAATCTCAAGAAAAGCCAGTTGGTTGTTCCTGTCATGCCCCATATTTACAAATATCGCGATGCACAACAGCTAGCAGATGGTATGATCAGTATGTTGATGACCAATGAGTTTGGCAGTGTTCCTCGCCAAGCAACATCGTCTCTCTAGGATCTCTTATACTATCGGGGCTTTGGAGGATTAATCTTTCGGTTTTCGCGGAAGACCCGAGGAAGGGGATTTCAGGAACTTCATACACCACAGCCGTAGCTGCGGCAATGGGTATTGACTTTTGCAATCTCCCTGACGACTTAATCACCGGGAATAGCGGTTGGCGGGCCATGTCGCGTTCTTTAGATATACAGAACACTGGCAGTTGTGGTTTGGAGAACGAAATCTCCGCGTTTTACTGACTTAGAGTCCTCCTTCGGAAGAGCTCTATACGCCGGCCCTTGAAGTCCGTCATCGGTATCCGCACAGCGATCTCAAGGAGAAGCTCAGTCGGTAAAAGATTAGGAGATCATGCGATTTTCGCTTTTCCTTCAACCTTTCGGGGGTAGATGTTTGTCTACTCACCAATTTTCCTATGTGCCTCACTTTACCTGTTCCATCGTATCCCAATACAGATCAAGTAAGTGGGAGGAGAGTTATATGCAAGCCGGCAGCTTCTGCAGGTGGTATTTGAGATACCTTCTCTAAGGAGTGGCATTTTCAGAAGCCGGAGAGGGATCGCATGTTTCCTTAGCGAACCAGTTGACTGGAGGCTTAGGTTGAAAGAGAATTCTCCTGATTTCCGTAAAGGATTTAGGAAGGTACTTCCAAAGCTGGAAAAAAATTGCTTGACTGCCCAGAGTGAGCTCATATCGTTTCATGAGTGCGTTGACCATGGAAGTCGACTCCTTTATGAAAGATCTATTACCTTCCCCAGCGAGGAGAAATAATCAACGAGGTTCATATGTCTCTCATCTATATTGATCGTAAGAAGTGTCTATTTATTTTCCAACCTTCTCAGATCGTAACGGGTATGATGCTCCTGAAAACAGAGTCTTGGCTTCCTGGTATAGCTCTTCCATGTTCAGGGGGTTATACCAGGCTTTCACCGGGTTCTATATAACCACGCCCTATGTGAAGTTCGAGTCTACTGCGGTCGGGGTGGATGATCCAACTGGGCTAGAGGTCACAAGCACCTTATCAAACATGTAATTGTACATTTAGAACGTGTCCTTGAAAGAATCGAGATTGGCCTCAATACATGCGTACCTAGCCCCTCTTCTACATTATCACATGTTACAGAAACGTTGACTGTCCCTTGCGCAGAGACAACCAGGTACTCAAGATGGTTTCCATGTCGATCTTCAGGTATCCAACCTAGCTTGAGAGACTCTGCAACCGCAAACAGCTTCATAGAAATATAGGCACCGGGGCATCTGGTTCCGCAAGTACCTGAGTGTTCTCTCTACACCGCAGACCTAGAGGGCCGGCGGTTTGGGGAATACCAAGGGCTGATTGCCTTTCTCCCATTACACATTTAGAGGCCAAGACTGAAGGCGACTCTCGTAGCTGACACATATTGATGTTATCACCACTTCGATTCGCAACCCGTATGAAGGGGAATTGTCTATCGCGGACCGTAGGCATTCAAATTCACCACTCACACCTCGCTGAAGAAAGTCTATATACTCTGTGTATCTCAAACTGAGAATACTGGATCGGTTGGTAAAGTGATCGCAGGTGTTACTTAGTATAAGTCCCCAGAGTTGTGGTTGTGGACCGAAGTCATATGGCATCCGCAGCGTCGAGACGTTCTCCAGCCTAAAAATCGGGGTTGAAACTCTCGTTTTCCAGAATATTCGATTCTCATCCCTTCTAAGATATCAATTGTTCTACACTAATGCCAACAGAAGGATGGAGATGCCTGAAGGTATCTTCAACGAAGAAGATTTTGACATCGACCAAGTAGTAGAGACTCGCCCAGAAACGATTATCGGGTTCTTCGCCAAGCAGGTCAGCCTCGGATTTTGCATCTAATCTCACATTTTCATTATGAAGATTGTGTTTTCTCTCTGATAACGCCAAGTTATCTGACAGGTTTGTTCAGGGCCGTTTTCTATCAAATCTTGGGTTGGTATTGGCCGACCCTTCAAGCTGACTGCTGGGTTCCGTCCAGCTTCTTCGCTGTAGTCAGGCCCCCAACAACAAGCTTCGCTCGGGGCGCCCATTTTTGACATCAAGCTTGGATCAATGATACCGTGGTCGGTTCCATCACGAAGGATGTTCTTGTCGACAAAAGTGCGGGCTTCGACGTCCCTTTTCGTGGACGTTACCTGAGAAGGGACCTCGCTATCCAGAAACTTGATAGGGGCCCCCCATTACTAGGTATGCGAGCAAATTTTCCAGATTTGTGCCATAATTCACCTCTAAAAGAGTGCTCAAGGGGATCTTGAACCCGCTGGTGGTGTTATTCTCCTGGTAAACTACCTATGCAATGGTAGATTGGGGATCAGCATTCTGGCGAATATCAATCTCATATTTGTAAACAACGAGTTGGACGCCTAGGAGCAATCATGGCCCCCCATGCATTCAATCTTCAAAGTTTCTCATGGGACTGGCATGCGTCTCTCGTTTCAAGATCTGAGTTTTCACAATCTGATTTCTCACAATTATCGTCGCGCAACCCGCTCTCCTTTGGTTCCATTGGAGGAGACTGCAGTTTATAACCTGGGGATAATGCTTTTTTTCGGCTGAGGGAGCTTCAGGCTGGCCCAAGTAGGTAAATCTATGGTTTCAGGTTTGTTCACTGGCAAGTGGGTGACAAGAGAAATGAGATATCCAATGGAAGAGTTAGTTATAAATAGACTATACTCTACGATGAATAGAGAAATCCCACTGTACAAACCAAATTAAAGTAATACCATACGCTATATTGCCTCCTAGGTAGATACCTTATGTATTATTAGTATTGAATAATCTGATAATTCCAGTCGCAGACTTGAAGTTAGTGTCTTCATAATTGTGTATCTCAATCTCAGTTCACCACTTGACTGATTAGTATTGGAACAAACCAGATCTGGAAATCATCAAATGGTTTAGTCACTTGAAATCTGGAGTATATACGCGTACATTAATCAAACCTGGGGACTTTCAAGAGGTGCTTGAATTGGACATTGCCCTCGTTCGGTACTTTTCAGAAAGGAATGATCTGTTTGGGATATATTAAATAACCTGAAAGACCGCAAAGAGTAGGCGAACTGTAAAATCTACCACGTGGTACCCAAAAATGTACTCTCTGCCCTACATGCACTTTTAGGAGGCATACCTATCCTACATACAACCTACGAAGGCAATGGATCAATAAAGCGAGCCGCCCGTCCCGATGGGCAATTAACGTCTGAAAGTCCATGGCTCTCATACAGCTGAAACTTTATGTCTACGACCTTCATAAAAATTACGTCTAAAGCACTACGCGTGCAATTCGGGATAGGGGCAGGGAATCTGTTGGTTGACCCCCGTCCCTGTCAGGTCGCCTTCCTTTCTAGACAGATTTTAGGGGTCCTAGCTGACGATCTGCATCAGACGCAGGGACAGGTTCGTCAACTCTGCACCCAAGCTAGAAGAGAAAAAGTGAGCTGATAGGCGCTTCTCGCATCTGTTTGTGTTACATGGCACAATGGCCGCAGTTCGACGCCGGTAGCCCGGTAAACACCTGATTTTGCGCGATGTGGAACCTCTTTCGGTATCATCAAGATTCCTGTTCCTTGTAATTCTGCTGGCACATGTCTTTTTGAGAGTCCTTGGAAGAGAAGATCACGCTTTGCGTTGGCTGGTGTTCACGTTCGCGCTGTGGAACCTTTGACCTGACACCATGCAGGTTCTGTTCACTTTTGGCTTGGCTTGACAGGACGGTTAGATCCGAGATGTCGCAGATATGTTGTGCTGTCAGAGCAGGTATACCACCGCGTCGCACATTGTGTGCCCAGTGGTATCTCTATACCTGCATGAGCGTTTTGGTCATCCACACGGAAGGAATAGCTCGAGACAAGCGCTTCGACTCCACACCTTCGAGAAAAGTCGCAGAGCTCGAAGTCTCAAGAGCAAGGAACACCGGCAGTCAGACTCGCGAACAGACCCGCATCTTTCTAGGAGCCGGGGGTTATGCCCACCACGGGAGTGACTAGAAAAGGAGGAATAAAGTGGCGAAGGCCGAAATAGACAAATACTGCCATCCTTCCAGGTTCTGTCCAATTGAAGAGTCGCCGAGATGGTGGAGCCGGTGAGTTCGAAATTCCATCGGTCAGACCAGGATGCAACATGAGGGTCCTATAAAATGATTGGACCGATGTCGTGCAGGCGCCAGGTGGAAAGGTCCTCGGCGGATTGATAGTCCAATCATGATAATCCCGGGATCGAAAGGGCAGGAATGGCATAATGTCCTTGGCTTTGGAATAGATACCCAGACAGGAGGCCGCGAACCGGGGTCGCATGGACCTAGTCTGGAGGATTTCAATTTCAGAAAAAGAACGACCCGTTGTTTGCGGTGCTTTGATGTTCGAACTTGGGCTCTAGGATTTGACTAGCAAGGATGGATCAAGGAGCCGCCTCAGGCCGGGAATTTAAGTGGCATTAGTCAACTGTGGATTGTGTTGGTGATAGCAAAAGGCACTTCCCTAATGAGGATGCTGGAAGGCTCAAACTGGCCGGGTCCGCCGATGAGCAGCGGTTTGCTGCAAGGATTCGGCATAAACGAGCCCTATTTCCTCCCTCTATCTCATGCACCCACGGCCCCGTTGGACGGGGCGGGCGAGTCTGCATCTAATTGCACTCGCATGTGATTGAAGCTATCGTGAAGTCCGTGGCCGAGGAATGCTGGACGCAGCCTCGGGAGCGAAGCTGGAAGAGGAAAAAGAGAAGATCGTCACGTCAAGCGAGATGGCTGCGGGTTAGGGAAGTTACAATGGAGGGGCCGTCTGAGACGAACGAATTACGGCTGTGCTGCCAAGGCCCTTGGAGGTGTGACACCCTTCCTATGTTGGTAACCTGGTAATATTGATGCACAATTGGAACTTTGCGCCTGGAGTCGATTGCTTTTCACGTCGTCGAACGTTGATGCCACTTTCGGCTGCATACCCTATACCCGACGGCGTCGCTTGGATGAGGCCAACCAGGAGATGTGTCCCTCGTCTGGCAGCAATGATCTCCAGCTAGGAA